AGGAGCTCATGACCCTTAGGTGAATTCAGCTCCCTGCTGGGGTCCACTACTCGGGCCCTTTGTTCCCCCAGCACCGCCGCCCAGCGCCTGCTCTTGATTATCCTTTGATACAGGACCAAGGACTACCTTCTCCCTGCAAAGGGTATTCATCTGTTACTATTGTCCCTGCAGGTCCATTAACTCAGTTGCTCCAAATCCCTAAATGCCAAAAGCATCTCTTCTGCTCTCTCTCTCTCCCCTCTACCTCTCCCTCTTTCCCACCCCCCGACCTTTGGTGGCAGAGAAAAAGGCTAAGAGGAGATGCACTCTAAATAGAGAATATGAATGACTGGCATGTCCGGGGTGAACACAGTCATGCACGCCAGATCTATGTCTACACAGGCACCTAGAAGCTTCTCTCTCTCCCATTTATCTCACATGCGCTGAGTTAGGGGCTTTGCAATTTTCTTAGTAACCTCCCCAAAGTGAGAGCCCCTCCCTTCATTTTACAGAGGAGGGAGTCGAACTGTTAAGCCACCTGTCCAAGGCCACGCAGCTAGTGAGAGGTGATACCTGGACTGGAACACAAGTCTGCCTGATCCCAAAGGCTGCACTCTCCTGCTTCCAAAGTCATATTTGAAATTTTATACCACAGAGGGGCGGTTAATAGATGTAATTCCTAACAGAATTATAGAAAGCTGACATAGGTGAGGATTTTTCATATAATAGTCAAGCTTAATTTGGGGCTGTAATTTCACATTCTGCCCAAGTGGCATTTTTCCCTTGGCTGTCCCCAAATACAACCACTCAAGTTTCACCATTTTCCCCCCTTTCCTCTTATGGGTAGAGAGGAGGCCGTTAGAGCCAGTTAATGGCCAATGTCGGGTAACTAGAGAGGAAAGTGCCTTGGCTGTTTGAACGTCCCTGTGAGCTGGTCAACACACCTTTATGAGTGTCTTCTTAAGGCACAAAAGCGGACCAGGCCAGGCCCTGTCTTAAGAGATCTTACTCTACCTGAGGAGTCAAGGGATAAAAAAGGCAAAGGAAGAAGTAAGATTAAAAAAATAAAGTAATTGTGCTAAGTGCAGCCCATAGATAACTAATGGTCAGCCTGAAGGCAAGGAAAACATCACCGGGAGATACGGTAGTCAGGGGAGGCTTCCTGGAGGAGGCAGAACTTAAGCAGAAGCTGTGAAGGATAAGTATATGGAGGTGCTGAGGGTGTTTTACATGCAGGCTTATACACATAGAACCAGAGGAATGGCACACATGATAAACTCTTATTTTGCAGACAACGAAATGGAAAACTAGAGTCATTAGCGGAGGGCCAGCACGTCAGACTGAGAAATTCAAACATCATCCTGTGGACGACGAAAGTCCAGGTGGTGATTCTCAGCTGAGAAATGCTTTGACGGAAGCAGTGTTTTAGGAAGCTCAGCTGCAACTGGTGGACAGAAGAAGGAAGTGGAGACGAGGGGACCAGTTAGGAGGTGGCTGTAATGACCCACGTGTGATGTGATCACTGCACTGTGTGGTCTCTGTGGGCCAGATGTGGGTGACACTTTAAAGGAAGGGCTCACAGAGTTTGGTGGTAGATTGTCTATGGCAGTTAGGGGACTATTAGAGAGGGAAAAAAGCTCACAGGCTAATTCCCCTCTTTCTCAGCACATTGAGATAGAGTTGAAAATATTTCAAATAGGAAACATACTTCAGGACAAACTTTTCCCATAAAATGTTGTCTTTCAAATATCGTCTCCCTGTCCCCCATGGATCTAACCTAAAGTAAAGGTAAATTTACCCTATGATCATAGACTTAATTTCATATATAAGCCTCTTGGTCCTTGAAGTCAATAATGATGATTAAAAAGAATAATCTATTCAGAGTCGGCTCCTTAAACATTTTAAACCCCTTAAATTTACTCCATGCTCTCCACACAAAAATATTGCTCAGGGGAAGAAAAGAACCAGATGTCCTGACCTGACCCATAGGTTGGCCTCATCCACGTGGCAATGGTTGGCAAAATCTCAATACTCAAGTGTCAGAAATCTTGCTTTATGGCTTTTTAAAGAATAAACCAAGGAGGGAAGGTATCGCTCAGTGGTAGAGTATACGCTTAGCATGCATGAGGTCCAGGGTTTAACCCCCAATATCTCTATGAAAATAAATCTCATACCAGCCGCCCCCAAACAAATTGAAACGAAAAAGAATAAACCACTTAAAATCTAAAACAGGAAAGAAGCAAGCCTCTGTCCATTCCCATATGGGGATATACTTAAGAACGAAATGTAAAGTGTCACACTTGCTCTGCTGTTACAACAGAAACCACCACGACACTCTGCCTGAAGTCACATCAGCTTCCCCGGGAGGGAAGAGTGGAGCCTTTTCATTTCTGTGATGAAGATTCTCGCTCATCATCTGCTGTGAGTTCAGTGACTATCTGGATTCATGTCTTCTAGTTTTCCACTCCACTCTCAAAGCGGGTTTTGGAAGTTAATGGATCGAGTGTTCCGATTGCTTTTCGCCTCTGAGATTCGTCACCTTACTGGGTGCCTAGATCACAGGATGCATCCACTGTGCTAATAGAGACCTCCCCCACCCCCCAGGGATTTTTTCCCTTCGTTGGGAGGGGTACCCAAGGCCCAGACACTTCCACAGCTGTTAGACTCCTGATGGGAACTTCATGTGTGTTACCGGCCCAAGTGCTGCCAGGAAGAAACCAAATGTCAAACTGAGCTATGTGGAAGTCACCATAAACATGTCTCTGAATGTTTACCATCTGGAGCAGTGGATTTTAGATTTTGACAAGAAGCTGGGAGTGCCCTGAGGGCACCGAATTGAAGCAGACCCTTTGGGTTCACTAAGTAACTGCCCCCTACCTTAGCCCTGTTAGGGGGAAAAAACACACGACTTTGCCTTCTCAAGGTGTGAATTTATTATTTCTCAACACTTCCTTTCTTGCTTCCATCCTGCCTAAATCCTGCGTCCAACGGACTTTTGCGGGAAGGGGTGCGGAATTCTCCCGTGTTGCCAAAATCCTGGGCAGGCAGCCTGGTTGTCAGTCTGTAACATTAGCACCATATGCTTGTGGGGCTCCCGTGGCTAAACAGCCACTTGCTTTTGTTAGATGGCATCACCCACACCTCAGGAGGCAGAGCCATCAGCAAGAAGGTTCTTACTTTCTCCTGAAATACCTCTGTGATCAAGGAGTGGCATCCGTAGCCAGCACCGTCCCTGCCGCAGGCTGCGCGTGCAGTCCTAACCCTGACACGACGCCACATACTGGTTTGACTTTCTGTCTGTATTTTTTTTAAACCCCAGTTCCATTGTAAAGCTGAAATGGAATGACTGGAATTCCCAAAGACTTCAGCTTATGAACTCAGTCCTATTTGGGTTATGTAATATTGGAAATCGGATCATCCTCAGTCGTAATAACCGCTTGATTACTTATAAGGATGTTTTCTCATTGGAGAAGATTTTTGAGGCTGTTTCAGAGAACACTCTGAAGAACAACTGGACACTCTAATAACAAATTCTTTTCATCTTAATTCTAAAATTTTAAAAGAGGATTTTAAAAAGCCAACTCTCTTGCTGCAAAAATTATATGTAATGCAACTCGGAACAGAATTTTGCAGGCATCTTTATGCCATTGAATACAAAAATCCCAGAGCATTAGCCATAAATCCTGTCCTTCAATGTACAAAACAGCTCCTATTTCAGAATAGCTTATATACAATATTATTCATAGGATCTCTCGCCTGCCAGAGGTGAGGACAGTGTTGGGTTTCTCTACCCAACGTGAAAGTCCCGTTGGAGAAAGAATTCTTGGGGGCACCACAGGTATCTGAGCGCTGAGGGAGGAGGGCAGGTCTGCTAGGGTGCAGAAATGACTCACTGACTTACCTCGCTTGATCAAAAACTTAAAAACTTTTTAAAAAATTTTTTGATCCCTGTAAAAACAGAGCATCCACTTGAAAGGCCTTTGTTATACCACAAATTAAGCGTTCCCTCTAAACCCCATTGCTGCATTCGGTTCAATTTAATTTTGGTTGTGTTTTTGGCAGAGCCGTTACGTTAACGGCTACTTGCATATATGATGACAACTCACTTCATGTTGCTCGGGCACTGGATGACCATGAATTTCCAATGACTAATTTATAATTAAAACCTTTTTTTTAAAGTTTGTTTATAACCAAGCCAGAAAATCTATTTACATTTAATTAACACTTGAGCTAGCCTGTTTAAAACCCATAAATGTAGTGACTTTAATGACCCATTACAGAGATGCTACTTTAGTTTTCAGTGACTTGTAAAACTTTCACAAACAGATCTGCAAATGAATTACCTCCATCTGCTCCCCTGCAGCTGCAAGAGGGCTAAGTTAAAGAGCATTTCCTTACTTCCTCCTTTTCGGCTTTTCTTCAAGCTCTAAGCATTTTTGTTTTAAAGCGGCTCTATCAGCTGCCCCTTCTCTTAAGGAGTTTCCAACTTTAGAGCCAATCTCCACTTTGTTTTAGAAACGCTTTGGTCCATCCCAAATCAGACAGGATCTACACTGCAAAAATCGGTGAAGAAAGCTTTTCTGTCTCTGCCAGCCCCTCACTCCGTAAGAGACTCTTAAAAGAACCTTTACAAATTGAGGAGTAAAATGCAACAGTTTGAAAGTGAAATTTAATTTTGGACGCTAAGATACATGCTTTCTTGGGCTTATGCATCCTTTGTGAACAACGTATAGCTCCTGATTTGAGTCTGTAACGAGGATATTAAAGGCTGGGTACAAACACCGCTTCCAGAGACGTTTTCTTCGCTACACCTTCAAGAGCAAGGCATGAGGAGTGTTAGTTCTCGAAAGACAGCCAAGCACCAAGCTACGCTCACTGCTATCTGTCAGCCGTACAATGGCAGCATTGATAGGAGAGCAACAACTGGGTCTGACAAGTGTGCTGCGCTAGCATTCCATTCAAAACTCTGTTGAGAGAGAGAGCGAGGGAGAGAGAGAAGCATTGAATGTCTTTTACTTTACCTGGAAAAACTGCTTTCCTTGCGGCTGCAGAAAATGAATTCCTCCTCTTCTTCCAAAAGCAAAGGAGTTCTCGTGCCTGCGACTCTCCCTTGGAGGAGACCACACAGCTCCAGCAAGGCAGCCTTCCTGCTCCTAATCCCCACTCGAATGTGATGACACACACTAACCCCAACCATCTGGTGAAACACGTCCTCAAGCACTCAGCACAGTGGTGTGTCAAGACAGGCTGCCCAATCCAATTGCTGGGGCTGGGTGTCTCTCACCGACTGCAGGCTGAGGGCAGGACTGAAACTGGAGGTCTGAGAACTCCCAGTCAAGTAACCTGAGATTTTCCGAGAGAAAGAACGGCTATAAAGAGAGAAGAAGTGGGAGGTGCTCTAGAGAAGGTGGAGGGAATGAATTATTCCGGTGGCCAGTTGCGAGTTACTTTTCACAACAACTTGTCCTCCCCCCACTCTCCCCCCACAATCCTGCCTGGGGGATGATGGGGACCTCTGTAGGATGCACAGAAACACTCAAAATCTTTTCCTGCCAACCTAGTGAGTGCAATCTTCTCAGTGAGGCACCCCCCACCCCCGACCAAGGAGATAAAAAATTCATCTTGACATACTGATAGAGTGTTAATGTAGGAGTCGTTTGCACTGAAATGTGACATCTACATTTTGAAATCTAAACTCCTACCTTCCTTTGATTAGATCGTGGCTGCTTCCAACATTCCTAGGAGGAAGGGGGGGGCGCGCAGCTAAGAGCAGAAAATTCTCTATTCCCACATACAGCTCTTCACTGTTTGCCACGGGCTGAACTTCAGAAACAGTCAATGAAAATCATTTTCGTTTCTACTCATGTGAAATAGCACGCGTTCTCATAGATAAAGGTGGCTTTTTTAATCACTCGCAGCTTTCACAGACATCTCTTTGTAAAAAGCACTGGGTACCAGAGGGCTGCACTCTGTCATTGATTATTTTTATTGGCTTCTAGTTAATTGCACTTATAATGTCCATATAGCTCAAACAGCTCATTAACAATTTTGCTTTGAAATGTTTTCAATTTTGGGCCATTTCAATACCTCCTTCTTGTGTGCATTTCTTTTTTTTTGAGTTCTCTGAACTGTTTTATAGAACTAATTATTTGGATAGCAGTTTGAACCCAGAAAATGGCTATACTTGTTACAATACTTTAAAAAAGAGATCTGGAAATAAATTAATTGCTACAAATATCACCATTTAAAAAATTCCATTAGACTTCTAAGAAATTTTGATAACCTGAAATAGAAGATAAGAATTTGAAATCTTATCAACTCCCTGACAGTGTCTGTGGGAAACCAACATTTTAAATATTGCACTTTTTGAATTTCTTTGAACTGGGAGGGAGATCACGGGGGCGAAACAACACACACACACACACACACACACACACACAAATCCTTTAAATCTGCCGAAAGCATGAAAATTTAGACTGTAAATAGGTATCTAATACTAGGAATGCCTGTATTACAAAGAATTATTTTAATATCTAGCAAAACTACTTGACTAACTTCTTTTTATTTTTCAGGAATTTCTGTGTGATCGTATATTAAGATAGTTAAAAATTACTCCTGGTACAATCTTCTGAAGCACAGGATTAGAGAACTATTATTTTCACAGTGAGTTTTTCCTACAACTGGGCTGCAGAGAAGAAAGGGAAAAAGAACAGTATTAAAAGTTGAACTCCTGATTCATTTGCTCAATTTCTTCCCAGAAGTGATTATGAGGTGTCCGTTTCACAATATATAGTAGATACACTAAACCACTGCTCTTAACCAGCTAAATCCAGATACATAATCAACCCTGAAACATTCAACAATGGCAAGTAGCCCCACGGGGCTGAAACTTCCCTTGGGCACCATAAAATTCTTAATAGTGCCAATTATTGCAGGGCAATTTTTTTCATTAAAAAAAAATTTTTTTTTCTTTTGGTTAATCCAACCAGACTCACGTCTGGAAATCTGAATTACCTCAGCTGCATAGATGTGGAAGACCCTGGAGACGTTATTAAGGTGGTTTGCCTCCTCTTAAACTGTAAATTGAGTTTCAAAAGTAAAACCTACGAAACTGTAAAGGTGTTGAATCACGTTTTATCAACCCTGTGCTTGTAACACACCTTCTGCGAGACATTTCCCAAGTGGTCCTGGCTCTGACCCACACTTACTGTTGACAGTGCTTTTTAGCACAAACATTTTTCTTCTATTCCCAATTGTAAGTCTTTTCATTAAATCTCAGCCCCTACTTCTCTTTTATTGATAACTTCAGTTATTTATACTCCTTAAAACTTGCTTTAAAATAAAAAATTCAAGTGGAGCCACAGATTCTGCCCGTTTGCTGTGAACTTAGTTTTCGCTCTGTGCAGAGTCTGTAAACATTACCTTTCAAAAGTTGTGCAAAATGAGTCCACAAGTATGCAGTTTTTGGTTGATGTTCTGAAATGCTTTTGTTAGGGAAAATCAACTCAAACAAAGACCTGAAGCTGGTGCTACAGGACAAGATCCCAGCTCCCCGTCTCTCTGTAACCAGCTTCCCTGCTCAGCAGTGTGTCAGTTTAGAAGTTAAGAATTTTCCATTAACTCCCTTCCTTTCGCCTTGCCATCTGCAAACAGTTTATTTTTTAAGGAAAAAAAATGAAATTGATTCTGTCTTGAAAGATCCAAACTTAAAACATGACACGTTCTAAAAGATGATATTCAGCACTTGAATATAACATTGATCAGGGCGAGGTTGCGTGCCAAGGGTACAGCTTCACCGCAGGAATTAAGTAGGAGCACTCCTAAAATGAAAGATGAATTGTAGGTAACGGTGATATTGAAAAATCGCCCCTCCTATTCTGTTCCCACAGTTAAAATGTCCCTTTACTTATTAGCTCCAATTAGTTGCCATGGTAACCGACCAGCCCTTGTAAACCCGCACTCAGAGCTTCACTCATCTTTGTCTAGACTGAGCTCAGCACCCTTCTTCCTCCGCAGATGGCAGTTCAGCTGGATCTATATCTTTTGCACGCACATAACCCGCACATAAGTGCCCACGTCTACATTATTACTGGTACAATGGTGGCCGAGGGAGAATGGAAGTGGCATTTAATCCTTGAGCTACAGCGCGTGTATCTGCTGCCACACTAATTTTTCCCCCTCTTGGTTATTGTTTCTTCCAGGCTTGTTCTATTATCAGCTGTTTGCTGCTTGTCATTTCTTTTCAGGGAAGCCAATGCAGTATAATAAAAACCTCATTAAACAGGAACACCTATCAGCCTCGGAGAAAGCCCTAAAAGACTCCTTTTTGTCTAAAGAATCATTAAAGTGAAGGAGAAAAACCACTTGTTTGTCATGCCTGAAAAAAGGAGGACAAAGGCAGAGTAAAGGTTTACCAAGCCAGGGGGCTTGTATGAAGATTTAATGCACTTAAGACACCATGGTTCTTTCCCCCTTGTGCAGCCAGTTGGCCAAGGATCCCAACTTGAGCTCAGTAAACAAATGATCAGTGAGGGTGAATGAGACTGCCGCTCCAGACGCTTGGTGGGGAGGGAGGTAACCTGGACCTGCAGCATCTTGGCTGCCACAGGCTGTCCTGAGCCACGGGACTGCGGCAGGGTGATGCTGTTGGAGGCCCCCGGAAGCTGGCGTGACTACAGAAGAATTCCACGTAGAGTCGGGGAGGACCTTCAGCAAAGGCTTGAAATTGTGAGAACTTACCAAGACAAGGGTGCTCATAATTTGTGCTGACTTTATTTCTTTTTTACTTTACTTCTACTTTCCTATAAGAACAGAGACGATGCTGACAGCTTAGAAGCCAATTCTTTCATTATGGCTGGGTTTAATCTTGCTAAGAGTAAGTCAAAATTGTAGCATTAGATTTCTCCTCTTCATGTTACCTCGGGGGCCACCACTTTTCCAACACCTGTTTTGACATAACGAGGCTTAAGATTCCCCCAATTCTGCTGAAACGTTTTGTTCTTAAGGTAGTTTCAGAGGTTGGTACTGAGGTCGCCTTAATCTACGTATTAGAAAAGAAAAAAGTTCTCATCACCAGTGTCTTATGTGATCAGTTATGGAGTCTGTGAAACTCCTTATGCA